AAACCAGTTCGGTTTGCCTCGAACACGTTCCAGGCGAACCGAATAGGTGTTCGCCACATTGCTCATCCCTAATGTATCTTAACAGTCTAATCAATAGAACTGCTGCTCTCACAACCACGGCCTCCAAGTTTCTCTCCTTGAACATTCCACTATCGTTACACTGGCTGAAACATAAAAAGGAGCTGTTATCTTAAAAGAACCGTGGGAAACACACCAATGTTAGGCTATGAGGGAGCTGGAGCTTCGGCGTGGCTCGGATAGTTGTTGAAAACAAACCAGCCGAACAGAAGAACTGGTTCAATTTGTTGAAAAAACGGCCGCAAAAAAGAAAAACGGTATAGTTTGGGTAAAAAACGAACCGAACCGCCCTGAACCGAACCGCGGTTATTTTTTGTGCTCATGCGTACTTTAATCATTTCACCTCACTATAACCTCAATGGTGTTTATAATTTAGCATTCTTTTTCCACTCAGAGATTTTTCAAGCAACCAACTGTCTGGCAGCATTCCTGCTACCATCAGCACACTCACCCAAGTTTCTCTCCTGTGAGTTGCCCTCTTGTCTAGTGCTGTCAATTTCCTCTCACACGAGAGCTTTTCTCATGATGAGCGCGAGCTAAGAACACAAGGGGGTGACTTTGATACATACGTGTGTCCATGCAATAAAGTCATTCGTGGAGTGCACCCTTTTTCCATTGTTTTGAATGGATGGGTTGCTGTACTTCAAATGTGGTGCTCAGTTGAATTCTCCTTACTTTGGTTAGCCCCACGATCTCTCTGTTCTTCTTACTGCCCTAGTTTCATGAAACATTTTCCTTCAAAAAGCCCACCAGCAGCATCCCACTTCGCATACTGGTGCATCATCATCCTAGAGTGCTGGTCTGGTTCTTCCTTCTTGCATTCGTACGCAATGGCAGGTCCCTCGAGAGTAATCAGCTCACGGGTTCAATTCCTGTGGAGATTGGCTCTCTACTATCTCTGGCATCCCTGTAAGGCTCCTTTCTGCCACACGAGCATAAGACTGGGCTAAGCTGGCTCGTTTTTGGGCCATGGAAAGCCGGTGGGCTGACAAGCCAAGCCGGAGTCTCCACTCGACGGGCCGGGCTGACTCGGCCCGTGGCTCGTCCGTCGTAGCAAGCCTTTGATAATGTGTGATCCCTCCCCCCCAACCTACTATCTCGTCTCTCTCGAATTGGTCACCTTTTTGACCTCTACATTTCCTTCTCGTCACTGGCCCCATTCCCTTCCCTGTCGTGTCCTGCAAAGATGCCAATGAACTCATATTTTCTTTCCGTGCGTCCACCCGCCACATCATCACCACAGCTTTCACAACTCCAACTTGCTCTCAGGATCTTTGCCCTCTGCAATCACAAAGCTCACTGCTCTTACTTTCCTGTAAATAATCCATTGTATTGTTTTTCTTTGTCAGAAACCTTTGCAGAGTGTGCAACAAAAGCTATTGTAGTAGCACAAGTTAGGTACAATCAAGGGCTGAGCCAGGGCAGGGCTGGCACAAATCAAGGTGGGCAGCTTTCCAAAGACAGTGATTCTCTGTGTTTGAACCACATCGTTTTATTCCATTTATGTGCTCAAACATTCGTTCACAGAACAGTTAAGCCTTGGAAAGTCCGTTTACAGCATTTGTGATTCAGGCCAAACTCGGGCAACCCTGTGACGAACCGCCCATGGCTGATTGGGACCCCACCTGGCCATCAGGCTGGTGAGGTTCAAAATGGGCCAACCCGATTGATCCTTCCTCATGTCCAGTCTCATGCTAATAATCACCGTCCCACCTTCCTTCTCACCAATTTGTCCATCGCCCTTGCACGCCTCCCACGTGTCCCTCGTCTCCCTGTCTCGGACAGCTCCCTCGCTAACAACCGGCTCACCAGCTCCATCCCCGCTGGCATTGGCTTGCTGACAAAGCTGGTAGCCATGTAAGGATCCATTGTAGGTGCTTCGCCCACATTCCTAGGCATGAGCAATAACCGAACCAAAACCACTTGCGCACCAGATGGGGGTGGAGAGTTTCAGAACCGCGCTCTTCAAGCCTTCAAGTCTTAAGGCACACGACACGGATTTTGCTCATGCCTTGATTGAACACCCTGATTGGGACAGGTCGCTGGTCTCCAACCAGCTCAACGGCTCCATTCCGGCAGACATTGGCGCCCTCACCAAGTTGACAATTATGTAAGAAGATACGCTTTTGTTGTTCTTCTCATATCTCCTGTGCTCTCCCAGGACTCTTTCCCCCCCTTTTCAGTATAGCACGACCTCTTTTATCTCCCTCAGTTCTCCCCTATATCCCTTCACTTCCCTGTTTCGATTGTTCACTTCCTTTTCCCTTCATTGAGATCTTCTCTTCTTTCTTGTGATCAAATTCTCACAATATATTTTCTGCAAGTGGATGTCGTAATATCATAATTCCAATATTCGTGTTGCCTCACATTCTTCTAGCATTTTGCCTCGTCTCGTCTTCTCCAAAGGACGACCATCTTCATATGCTAATCACCCTTTGTATGGTCTTACCCAACCTCATCGCTGTCCTCCCTCGCTTCAGTCTGGTCTTCTCTTGTATGCTACAACGTCACTATAACCCCAGTGGTATTTTATAATCTGGCTTCATTTCAGAGCCGTTTCAAGCAACCAGTTGTCTGGCAGCATTCCTGCTGCCATCAGCACACTCGCCCAACTTCTTTGCCTGTTAGTGACTCTCTACTCTAGTCTAGTGCTGTCAGTTTCCTCTCACAGGGGAGCTTCTTTTTTATGTTAAGCGTGAGCTAACAACATTAGGGGCGTACATGCATGCATTAAAGTCTTTTGCGAAGCACCCATTTAGATCCCATGATCAGAGTTGTGACTGGATGGGGTGTGGTGAAAAGTGTCAGATAAAATCTTCCTGGTGTAGTAGCCCCATTCTATTTCCCATCACAATATCACTGGTTTCTACTTACTCCCCTACTTTCATACATACACCAAATCCCGCGAGACTATCATCAGCCTTCTTCTCATCCTAGTGCTTGATCGGATCAACACGATTTGGTTCTGTGCAGTTTGGTTTGTTTTTTTCTGAATTGAGCCATTGTCCTTGAGCCACAAGTTTAGTACAGACCAGTTTGGGTGTGAATATAACCTTGAAACCAGAGAGTGTTGTAGCTTTATTTCAAGCTCTAATTTTCTCATAGTCTACGATGCCCCCTTCCACCTAGTCATGACCATGTGGCCCGGCCTGACCCGACCCGACCCGACTTGGCTGGGCCAGATGGGTTCCCGGGTCGGGCCAGCTTCGAGCCAAGCTTGTGGAGGGTCTGACCCGACCCGAGTTTTGAAATTCGGGTCAGAACTGACACGACCCTGGGTCGGGTCGGGTCGGACCAGGCTGACCCGCCCTGTTACGGGGTACGGGTGTGTATTAGCTGTAGTGAAAAGTGCTGTGCATGCGGCGCCCGTCAATCAGTACGAATTGGTACTAGTTTATGTGCTGGGCCCACTTATGAACGGTGGTTGTTTTAAGACATGGCGCGTGCAGCCTCGAAGGTGAAATCGCACTAGTAAAACGTGAACTCGTGAGTATACTATCCCACCAGTGCGGTCTCCTTTAATAGCAGAGTATCATCTTCATAGTAAATAGAAATGTCGGAAAACATGGTTCTGTAGGCTTTAAAATAGCTACTAACTTAGCTTAGGTAACATTAGTGGCTGAAGTTTGGCTACTTTGGCGTGGCGCGTGCTCATGTTCTGATGACCGTTCAATCCTCGACATCAAATTTATGTAGGGTTTCGAACCCTACAGAGTTGGCCCGGCCCGAATTCCCCGACCAAGACCCGATATCGGGTCGGGTCAATCCTGGCTCGAAACCCGTCCCGACTCAGCCCAAGTTCTGATGTCGAGGGACTTCTTAATCCTCGTCATCAAATTTGTCTAGGGTTTCGAACCCTACAGAGTTGAAATCGGGTTGGGTCAATCCTGGCCCAAAACCCGGCCCTGACTCGGCCCAAGTTCTGTACTTGGGTCGGGTTTTAGCTCGGGTTCGATCGGGCCAACCCGCGCGGGGCACATTTCTGAAATCCTTGACCCGACCAGCCCTAAACCACGGGTCGGGTTGATTAGGTTTTCCCAACTTCCTTGCTCAAATGTATCTTAACAGTCTAATCAATAGAACTGCTGCTCTCACAACCACGGCCTCCAAGTTTCTCTCCTTGAACATTTCACTATCGTTACACTGGCTGAAACATAAAAAGGAGCTGTTATCTAAAAAGAACCGTGGGAAACACACCAATGTTAGGCTATGAGGAGCTTCGGCGTGGCTCGGATAGTTGTTGAAAACAAACCGGCCGAACAGAAGAACTGGTTCAATTTGTTGAAGAAAAAAATAACGGCCGCAAAAAAGAAAAACGGTATAGTTTGGGTAAAAAACGAACTGAACCGCCCTGAACCGAACCGCGGTAATTTGTTGTGCTCATGCGTACTTTTATCATTTCACCTCACTATAACCTCAGTGGTGTTTATAATTTGGCATTCTTTTTCCACTCAGAGATTTTTCAAGCAACCAACTGTCTGGCAGCATTCCTGCTACCATCAGCACACTCACCCAAGTTTCTCATCTGTCAGTTGCCCTCTTGTCTAGTGCTGTCAATTTCCTCTCACACGAGAGCTTTTCTCATGATGAGCGCGAGCTAAGAACACAAGGGGGTGACTTTGATACATACGTGTGTCCATGCAATGAAGTCATTCGTGGAGTGCACCCTTTTTCCATTGTTTTGAATGGATGGGTTGCTGTACTTCAAATGTGGTGCTCAGTTGAATTCTCCTTACTTTGGTTAGCCCCACGATCTCTCTGTTCTTCTTCCTGCCCTAGTTTCATGAAAAATTTTCCTTCAAAAAGCCCACCAGCAGCATCCCACTTCGCATACTGGTGCATCATCATCCTAGAGTGCTGGTCTATAACATTGAACACTACCCAGTACCACTTAAGAGTCAATCCAGTCAATAGAAAACCACATGAATGCCCGTGGTTGCTGTGCCAGTGCCCTGTATACCCATCTTCACATTCCTCGGATTGCTTCCTCGTTTCTCTCTTCCTCATATCTTGGATTTCTCTCTTCCCTGGTCTCAATCAACCAACCATCCTCGTACGCCTCTTCTTCCTCTCCCTCTTCTGTATCCTTCTCTTCCACCTCACCTTCCCCTTCTGCTCCCCTTCTCGTTGACTCCTTATTCTTCTCCTCCGCCAGCCCGTGTCTATCCCCTTCTGCTCCCCCATCCGTATACCCATTCTTCTCAACAACCCCTCACATCTTCGCTCAGTGCACTCCACTTTTTTCTATCCAGGTGCAGTGAGGTGATCCCCACCCATCCTTCTTCCGCCAGTTGCACCTCCTTCCTGCAGAGACCTCTCTCACAACTACCTCACAGGCCGCGCACTGAAGCTCCTTGCTGCGCGAACCCTATATCTCTCCAGCAACTTCCTCTCGGGCCCTCTGCCCGACGGGGCATGCCAGCCTCACTCTTTTGATGCCAACTGCTTCACGTTGCCGCTTGGCTGTGCCTTGGTGCCCCAGCGACAGGAGGCAGCATGCAATGCATTCTGTGGCGTCTCCTCTGCTGCTGGTGCTGCTGCTGGTGCTGCGTGTGGAGGACATGGGGTGTGCTATCCAGAGGGGGCTAGCTTGGCACCCACATGTCTGTGTGATGCGGGATTCGTGCAATTTGGAGGGATCACCTGTGTTGCTCAAGGTAGGGGACACCACTTGAAATCTATGAAACATGACCACATACTGATTTACAGAATGGTGGGACGTCCAACTCACATGAACTCCAGTCGCTTGTTGATCGGAATTCTTAGGTATCACCCTGTCATACCTCCATATTGTTAGCGATAGACTTCCACCTCACGTCTTTTACTTGCACTTTTAATGTCCTACTTTAGTGTAGTAGTTTTTGTGGTTGGGTGTTACACCAATATCCCAACCCAACCCAAATGTGATGTGGTCAACTGAAACCTTCAACTCCAACACCAGTTGAAGATTTCAGTCGATCTTATTGGGAATTGCCCCCAATCCCCTGCCCATCTGTTCCCACCCATTTTCTAATGTACTTAGAATTCTTGAGCTCCTTTATTAAATCAATCAAGTCTCGCTCAAGTTCTTACACATATCCCACTTCTGTCCATCCGTCTGGTATGTTTGTGCAGGCCAGAACAAAAACTACTCAAGCAGTCAAGCGGTTCTCCCACCAGCATCTATACTCACCAGGGGGGGGCAGCGCGAGACGAAGGGGAACTTCACCGCAGAGCCGGTGAAGTTGTTTGTGTACGAGGCAAACCAGGGACTGTCGCGGTGTGGGCTGCAGCTCGCCTTTCACGCCAACTTTACCTTCTCCCTCTTGCCTCGATCTGGCCACGTGGGCTTCAACGGCTTAGCGTTTGTCATCTCGGCAACGGACCAGGTGGGGAGTGGCGCTGGGGTGGGGTATGGTGGAATGGACACACGGAGCATGGCGGTGGAGTTTGACACTATACAGAACAAGGAGCATGGCGACATGAGCAGCCACCATGTCGGGCTGAACGTTCGAGGCGAAGACAGATCGCTAGTCGCTGTGAGGTCACCCTTCCGTCTGAGCAACAGGAAGGCGTACACGGCGTGGGTGGACTATGAGCCAGGAGACCCCGGCACCATCCAGGTCTTCCTGGCTGACTCGCAGGAGAAGCCGCAGCAAGCGGTGCTGGAGTGGAGGCTGGCGCTGTGTGAGGTGCTGCAGGGTGCAGTTGATCAGCCCGCCTTCTTCTTTGGCTTCGTAGCGTCCACCACTGTGAAGCCGTTTCAGCGGCACGTCATTCTTGAATCGACAGTGGATACAGGTAAGCAGTGTGTGCTTTCAGGTGGATGGGCTTGGCATGGTGGTTAACAACATGGGAGGTCCAGTCCGGAGGATGTAAAGGAGGTGGCAACGAGACTGAGGGAGTGGATGGTGATGTAAGGAATTGTGACGATGGGGGTAGTGCTGGTGAAGATGAGGTTAGCTCTGGCGCTGATGAGGTTACCGATGGAGGTCAATTTGAAAGTGACTGCAATTTGATATGAGTCACACATTTTCTGAATCTTACATGGTGTCTTCTATCTTCGCTCTGATTGCTTTGTCTTTGTGCAGGCCTTCCTGCTTCTCCCCGAACAGTCACACGTAATCCAGGTGAGACATCGTCTCCCATGCTTCTGTTGCGACTCTCGCAACTACCTCCGTTAGAAGGACAAAAGAGGCAAGCATTGTGATAGTGTGATGTTGGTGTTAGGCCCCAATCTCACATTTTGTACTTGTACTTTTATATCCTAGTTTAGTGTAGTTTGCACTTTGTGTTTGGTTGGGTGTACACCCACATCCCAACCAGACCCAAATGTAATCTCCAAGCAATCTCCAACCCACCAATTGGAGATTGCCTTGGGATTACCCTTGATTCCCTAGGATTGCCTCCTGATTCCCTCCTCATCCCTACCTTGCTCATTCCGGATGTACTAAAAGAGCTTTGAGCTCACTACTATAGTATCGATTCTAAGCTCAAGTTCTGACATGGTATCAGAGCAGCTCAACCGCATACGCGGATCGTGATCCTCTCATCTCTACGGATACTTGTCCTGCAAACCTCGGGGAAGCCATCGCCAATCTCGTCGCCGTTGATTCGCGACATTCATCGGCGGAATTCCTCCCGCCACATCTTCCCGTCACCATCGACGGAAACTTCTCTGGTAAGCGCATCGTCGGCGCTCTAACCTAACACTCGTTTTCATCAATTCGTCACTCTCGTCACTTCTTCTCCTCGTCGGGCTGCCGCCCGTCGCCCTGCAGCTTCTCGTCGGGCCGCCGCTCGTCGCCCTGCAGCTTCTCTTCGGGCTGCCGCCCGTCGCTCTGCTGCTTCTCGTCGGGCCGCCGCCCGTCGCCCCGCAGCGTCATCTTCGGGCTGCCGCCCGTCGCCCCGCATCTGCACTCCTACCCCCATCCCCCCTCTTTCCCGCAGCTGAACTGGTGCAGCAACGCAGCCGAGCAGCAGCGTAGCCGCGAAGCCGAGCAGCCGTGTAGCCGCGAAGCCGAGCAGCAGCGTAGCCGCGAAGCTGAGGGTGGTGTGTGGGGGGGTGTGTGGGAATAGGATTAGTAGGTAGTAGACACTAAATTGGCGTCTCAGTCAAATTCTCCTTCAGAAACCCTAAACCTCAATATTCTCTTTCGTAAACCCTAAACCTCCGGTTCTTCAAAATTTCCTTTGGAAACCCCAAACCTCAAGTTCCTATCGGTGACTTAAGAGCGGCGCTCCGCGTGAGAAGTTAAGGGGTCTCCACCATGGCTTTCTCGTCTTCCACCATGGCGAACCCCATCACCCCGCTCCGCCTTGAAGCCGATGGCTCTAGCTCCAACTTCAAGGCGTGGAGCTACGGAGTTGACAAGCACCTCCTGAGCCGTGACGTGCAGGGCCTTGACCTCAAGGACGTCTTCCTCAACCGTGGCAAGGGGAAACAGCCCACTCTTCCCCGTGAACCGACCGAATCTTCAAGTGATGCTGACGTGATGGCGTACGAAGAAGCTGTTGAGAAGTACCGGAAGTGGGAGAAGGCCGATGCTGCCATCATCAGCGTCTTCATTGCCTCCACCCCTCCCGAACTTGTCAACACGTTCCACAACTACCCTACCTCCAACGCCATCTGGAAGTATCTCCAGGATCGGTTCATGAACAAGACGGCGGTCGGAGTGGCGATTCTCATCCCCAGCATGTTTCAAGTCCGTCTTGAGGACTGCTCAGGAATGGCTGACTACATCGCCAAGGTGCAGACCATTCATGGTGAACTCAAGGAGCTGGGTATAGTCTTCCCCGAACAAGCCCCTGCAGCCGCCCTTCTTGTTGGTCTCTCCTCGGCATATGAAGTCACGAGGAAGATGCTCCTCACGCTCTCAGCGGAAGACCTCACCTTTGCTAAGGTCTCCACCGCACTCCTCTCTGCCGAGAAAGACTCCATGGCTCAGGCCAAGGCATACGCCATCCGTGCTCCCATGCCCTCAGCAAGTGTTGCAGCGGCCCTTGCCTCGGCGCCTTTCCAGCGCAACCGCTTTCCTCCGTGCACCTACGTCGTCAAGTATGGCAACCGCAAGGGACAAGTGTGTGGTGGCACTAACCACCCCCTTGCCACGTGCTTCAAGAAGAAAGACGACGAGTGGTATGCCATCCACGGGGTTGACAAGAAGCCGCCAAACTGGATGCGCGCTCGTAAGGCCAATCTCGTTGAGGTCCAGGACCCCTCTTCGGCTAGTGCTAGTGATAGTGCTCCTGTTGATGTGCGTATCAACCTGTTGTTTCCTGGCACTGCCATGATTAATGAAGCCACTTCCCAGTACATCGACTCATCACAGGCACCACAGTACATAGAGTTCACACTCGACAGCGGGGCCACTCACACTGTGCTCAAGGAGACACTCTCCTTCAAACCCTATCCAGCACCTATCCCTCTCTTGGGAGCTGACTCCAGCTTCACCACCCTAGCCAAGGGCACCTCCACAGTCCCATGCCCAGCCTTCCCTTCCGGCACCGTCACTGGAATGTGCGTGCCTTCACTACGCCACAATCTAGTGGCTCAAACAGAAATTCAGAAAGCAGGGCTACGCACCATCTTCTCGGAGAATGAGGACCACTGCGACATCATTGACCCACTCACCAACAAGGTCTTGGCCCGCTTCACCCTCAATAGCAGCGGCCTCTACACGCTACGCGTTCCTCTCCCACAGGTTTCAACCACCCAAGCACAGGCTCCCATCACACCATGCACATGTCGCAGCCTTTCCAACCCGACCATCCTCTATCATCATCGGTTAGGGCACCCAAACTTCCGCACGCTTGCTGACATGGCCTCCAAGAAACTTCTTCTCGGCCTGCCAGCCACACTTCCTCCACCACCTGACTCACCCGCTCCCACGTGCCTTGATTGCACCAAGAGCAAACTGCGCCAACAGCCCCACACTGCCTCACCCACAATCGCAGCGGCACCACTGGACCTAGTGCACATGGACGTCTGGGGCCCTGCCCCTGTTCTTGCACGAGGTGGATATCGCTACTTCCTAGTTATCGTGGATGACCACTCACGATACGTCTCTGTTCACCTCCTCCACACTAAGGCTGAGGCTCCAAAGGTCATCATGGCGTGGGTCAAGCAGGCACAGACCACCTTTGACCGCAAGGTCAAGCGCCTTCACTCGGATGGGGGGGGTGAATTTTGCAACGACAAGCTCAAAGCCTTCTGCTCCTCCGAAGGCATCCAGCAAAACTTCACCCTCCCTGACAGCCCTCAACAGAACGGCATAGCTGAGAGCCGCAACCACACCCTAGTGCAGATCACTCGGTGCCTCCTCAGCCACTCCAACGCTCCACACTCTCTCTGGGGATACGCTCTCTACCACGCCGCCCTCCTCTACAACCTTTACCCCCATCCGCACCTTCCCGACACCACTCCAACCACACTCTGGCTCGGGAAAACGCCCACTGCTCGCTCTCTTCGCGTTTGGGGATGCACCGCCTATGTCCTCCTCAACCCTCAGGCTCGACGCCAGAACGGTGGCAAGCTCGGTCCCAAGACTCAAACGTGCATCTACCTTGGGCACAACGCCGACTCACCTGACTACCTCTTCCTCAATCCCTCCACTCAACAGTTGGTCAGGAGCCGCGACGTTGTCTTTGATGAGACCCGCCCATTCTACTCCCCTTCGGGACGGGACCCTCTCCCTGATCCACCCTCCCTCGTGTGGGCAGACTTTGACGCGCCTCCCGACCTCCCGCCTGCTCCTGCCCCCTCACCTCCTCCCTCTACTGCCATCCCACCATCTCCCTCTGAGGTCTCTGACCCGGCCTCACCGGTGTCTTCGGCAGCTGCTCCGCCCCCCCCCTCACCTTCCTCACTTCCCGCTGCGCCGCCCCCTCCGAGCGCACCTATCACCTACCATCGGCGGTCCCACCCTCCGGCCCCACCTCCTCCCCCAGTTCCCCCCACCACAGAGGAACCCGCTCTCCCACAGTCGCCCGAGCTGATCACGTACCGCCGGCGGCCCATTCCCCCACCCAAGCCTCCTAAGTCACCCTCTCCGACACCGCCTGCCCCACCCTCCTCACCGGTGGCTCATGGCACCCGCTCCCATCGCGCTGCTCTTCCACTCGCAATGGTTCTTCGATACACAATGATCACACCGCCTCCTCCTGCTGGGGGGGATGTGCCCTCTACCCTTCTAGAAGACAGGCATGAGGAGCTGTGTGATCTCCATGCAGTCATTCCTCAGCTCTCACACATCTTCCCCGATATCACTGGCTCACCCTCCCTCAACCTCGCGGAGAACCCGACCATCCCTATCCCTCTCACCGTCCAAGAGGCTCTCTCAGGCCCTCATGCTGCCGAATGGCGTGCTGCCATGGACGCGGAGATTGCAGCATTCACTCGCAACCACTCCTTCGACGACGAGACTCCACCTCCAGGAGTCAACATCGTCGGGGGCAAGTGGTTGTTCCGTGTAAAATAGCTCCCAGACGAGGCACAGGTGTTCAAAGCGCGTTACGTAGCCAAGGGCTTCACCCAGCAGCGGTACCGCCACTTTGACCTAATCTTCTCCCCCACATCCAAACCTCCCACCATTCGAACGCTCATGGATGTTGCAGCTCGAGAAGACTTTGAGATCAAATCCATGGATGCCTCCTCCGCCTTCCTACAAGGACGTCTCAAGGAGACAGTGTTCATGGACAGACCAGAAGGCTTCCCAGGAGAATTCCCTCCCAACACTGTCTGGAAGCTGAATCGCCCCGTCTACGGCTTTAAACAAGCCCCTCGCGAATGGCACAACAAGGTGAAAGAAGTCCTCCTCTCCCTGCACTTCCACCCCTCAACTGCTGACCCGACTCTCTTCATCCGTCGTCATTCTGAGCCATTCTACATCCTAGTCTACGTGGATGATTTTATCCTCGTTGCCAAGGACTCGGCCCAAATGACCTCAGTCCAGGCAGCCCTGAGCAAGGCCCTCCAGATGAAAGACCTCGGTGACCTCAAGCACTACCTGAGAATGGAGATCACTCGTGATCGCAAGGCTCGCACCATCTCACTCTCCCAGGAGTTCTACATCGACAATGTGCTCAAGCGGTTTGAGATGGAGCTGTGCACACCTGTTGCCACCCCGCTGCCGCTGCAACACCTCCTTACAGCTCCTGCTGTACCCACACCAGAGGCCTGCTCTGAGCCATACCCGGAACTTGTTGGGTCCCTCATGTACGCCATGATGTGCACCCGACCGGACTTGGCCAACCCAGTCAGTGTTCTCTCTCGTTACGTGGCCCCGGGTCGCTTCACTAATCTTCATTGGAAGGCAACAAAGCGGGTGCTGCGCTATCGTAAGGGCACAAAGTCCCACGTTCTCACACTCGGTGGGCTCTCCCCTCCTCGCCTGGAAGGTTACACTGACTCCTCCTGGGCTGATGACCAGACCGACCGACGCTCCTCTCAGGGGTACTGCTTCACCCTCGGGAGCGGAACTGTCAGTTGGCGCTCCACCAGGTCGTCTGCAGTCTCCCTCTCCTCCTGTGAGGCGGAGCTCTACGCAGGCACCATGGCTGCTCAGGAGGCCCGTTGGCTCACCTTCCTACTCCAGGAGCTTGGCTTCCCTCAGTCAGCCCCCACCCTCTGGTGTGACAACCAGAGTACCATCCACATCTCTCAAGACCCTGTGTATCACACCCGCACCAAGCATATTGAACTTCGGCACTTCTTCATTCGTCACCTTGTGCAACAAGAGCAGCTGAAGGTGGAATACGTGGCATCTGACTGCAACCTGGCTGACCTGTTCACCAAGCCCCTTGGGAAGGTTCCCCACCATCGTCTCCTTGGTGCCATGGGGCTCTGCGCTCCTCCTTCTCCGCCATGAGTTCGATTGACGCCTCAGGGGGGGTGTTGGTGTTAGGCCCCAATCTCACATTTTGTACTTGTACTTTTATATCCTAGTTTAGTGTAGTTTGCACTTTGTGTTTGGTTGGGTGTACACCCACATCCCAACCAAACCCAAATGTAATCTCCAAGCAATCTCCAACCCACCAATTGGAGATTGCCTTGGGATTACCCTTGATTCCCTAGGATTGCCTCCTGATTCCCTCCTCATCCCTACCTTGCTCATTCCGGATGTACTAAAAGAGCTTTGAGCTCACTACTATAGTATCGATTCTAAGCTCAAGTTCTGACATGTGATTGTTATTATCATCTTATAATGTGTACAGACGTTTCCCCTCGCGTTTGTTTATCTTTCCACATGTATCCTTCACTCTCCGTCTTACCATGTTTTTCTTTTCTTCTGGAGGTTCTTTGTACTAAATACTCATGCATTCAGTACATTGGGTGTAAGAAAGAAGAATAACCTAGACAGTGTGGTTGATGGTGCACAGCACGGTGGTTGATGGTGCACAGCACGGTGCGCATAAATCTGAAGCAAACTGGAAAATGGAGAAGCTGAGCAACTTCGTTCATGGAATTAGGGAAGCGAATTTTTTATGAGAGACATGCATGAACCACGCTTGAACGGAGTGCTTGTTTGGTGGATGTTGTAATGACCACTTGAGGTGCAGATGTTATTGGATAAGGGTTGCAGTTCAGCAACGTTAGGGCAATGCACCCCAGACCATTGTACTCATTATCCCCCTTCAAGTTCTATCTTGTAACAACTTGTCACTTTCACATCTCATTCCTTTCTCTATAATTCAACTTCTGAGCATATCACAGCCTATGGCCTGCAGCTATCAACGAACACATACATGCCAGAACGGGACAGCCCCTTCCCGCGCTATGTGAGTGCGGACTACCGTGTTGCGACCAGCAAGCAGGACTCGTGGGTCATCAGCGACTTCCACTCCTGGGACTCCGTGCCCTTCCTCGGCTGGCCCGTCAAGGACCAAAGAGACTGCAGTGAGTGAAACCAATGGGAACCTGTAGAAGCATATTGGAGCTGATAGCTGGGCTGGTGTCTTGGTTAGTTGCTACAATCTGCGTCTTTCCATTTGCTGTTCTGCTGCTGGTCACTATCATGTTTCAACTATCGCACAATAATCAGGGCAATATGAGTCTTCATCATTTTTCAGCCGTCATCGCATGAGCTTCAATTTTTCACGAACCAATTTTCATCATACGCAGGTGCTTGTTGGGCGTTTGCGCTGGTGGCGAGTGTGGAAGCGGCATACGGCATTGCCTTGAATGCACAGGCACCGCAGCTGTCAGTGGAGTCACTCTTTGCAGCCATGGGGCTCACCTCCGAAGCTGACAAGTGCAGCACGGGGGGCTCCCCCACCGAGGCGTTGGAAAGGCTTCTCATGCTGCCTCGCGGTGGAGTCACAGAGGTTGGAGCGCCTGTGAGTAGTGTGGTGAAGTGTGATTCTAAAGATTTGAAGTGGTGTGCCCGACGTTGAGAGAGTTGCGACTATACTTCAACTAGTGATATGAGGACTGTCTCTAAGTTGGAATATACGCGTACAGCGTATATTCGCGTATCGTATATACGCTAACGTACATACGCTATCCGCTTAGGGGTTCGTTTTGGAGATACGCCTTTTCGGGCAGAGAAAAAACTTTCCGGGCAGGGTGAAATAAAAGTACTCCCTATTCTCACTAAGGCTTGGCCTTGCATAATCCTGAATCCGAATGATGAATGCAATGGGAGGTGGAGTAGACATAATAGCTAGAAAGCGAAGTAGCGTGAGTGAACTCTAGTGAAAGCGGGAACCAAATGACGAGTTAGGGTTAGCCAACAGGGCTTGCAGGTAAGTACCGCGAGATTTGTTGGGGGGTTAATTTTGACAGGTTGGAGTTCGTAGATAAAGTGGGGTTCAATGCGGTAGAAGGGATGGATTTCAATGCCTAGATGGGATCTGAAATTCAACATTTGCCTGACGACTTTGTCAGATCCCCGTTTCCCTGGACCGCGGATTTGAATTTCGACTACGGCGAAATGCTCACCTAGGAAATCCGCATATTTTTTGCGATTTTGTTTTCGGGCAGCCCTAAAAAGAGCGTATAGCGTATTCGCTATCGTATAGCGTATAGCGTGTGTACGCTAGCATACATACGCTGTACGCTTAAGGTGTTAAGCGTATATTCCAACTTAGGACTGTCTCCGAGTCGTTGAAGCCACTGGCATTGGTTGCAACTTATAACCGAGTTGAACTAATTTTCCATTGGCATACGAGTGGCCCTGCAGTCTGATACGCAATGATAGATTGGCCGGATCGGGGCCAAGAGACCGAGTTATGGCAGTAAGAGGCAAACAGCTTCTACCAAGCATGATCAACGGTCAGCTAAGGTCGGCTTGCCACGAGCCGGAAGGGGCCGAGCCAGACTTAAGAGTTCCATAACATTCAGAAGGCAACGTATAGAGTACAAAATGAATATTCTAATCATTTTGTAATGCACCCAACATTCTGCTGCTTTCTATGATTGGCCGCCATCATTTTCCGCAAGCAAACTTTTGTTTTCCATTGTGACCTCCTTTTATGTTTCTTTCTCTTCCTTCCTATCCGTAATTAAATCCCCTATGAAATGTTCATCTTCAGAAAAAGGAGTACCCTATTCATGGCTTTGAGCGCACAAGGTTCAAGGGGTTTGTGGGGCTCATGCTGGCAGTGGGTCGACAGCCAGTGGTGGTTCACATTGAGGCTTCTGCTCTGAGTTTTGCACAATATGACGGGGTGGGTGTTTCTTGCGTTGACCCTTCATTCTGTGCACAAGTTGTCAAGAGTTGTACAGAAGTTGTTGTTCGCATTACCTGTATGCCAAAAACCAACCCAGGGTTGTACACAAGCTGTTACCAGCATTAACCTGTATGCTTGAAGTGGTACTTTGTTGTTTGTTGTTTCATCCCTCCATAACTGTTGTGGTGCCCCCTTTCTCTTCAGACCTTCAAGTACCAGGATCCTAGTTGCTACACCGGCAGACTGAACCATGTTGTACTCGTTATCGGATACTTCATCTTGAGAAATGACGGCAGCCAAAATCGCATAGCGCCTCCATTTTGGATCATCCGCAACTCGTGGGGAGTGGAGTGGGGTGACCGGGGCCACATGCGCATGGACATTCAGGGAGGGGATGGCGTGTGTGGCATCAACGTGCTGCCTGGCATCTACCCCATTGTCAAGAGTGAGGCATTTATCTCGAGGTGTTGAGTGGGGCATCTACCTCGAGGTGTTGAGTGAGGCATCTACCTCGAGGTGTTGAGTGGGGCATCTACCTCGAGGTGTTGAGTGAGGCATCTACCTCGAGGTGTTGAGTGAGGCATCTACCTCGAGGTGTTGAGTGAGGCATCTACCTCGAGGTGTTGAGTGAGGCATCTACCTCATTGTCTCAAATGGGGCACCTTCCCCCATCGCTCTCTCCATATCTCAGTCCCCCCCTTCCAGTCCATCACAGGGTGTTTGGGGCAGGGTGAAATTCACAGAAGAATTATGTAATTAGCCTTTAGTCTAGGGGATGGCCTCAAATTTGGTATATGGAACACAGTGGAATGGAGGCATTGTCAACAGAGAGAAGAGAGTGTGAGCCAGTCACCAATCGCCAACTCACGGTTTCCAGATTTCACACCTGCCATTTGCCTAAGGCTTGCCTTTTCCTGCCCATGGTTGTTTTCAATGAGTTTGCACTCGCGCCTGTTTCTACACCTCCTGCTCCTATCTGTACCCCCCTCCAGTCCCCAAGGACCCTTGCGGCCAGAGGAGCTTCAAGGGTGATGGTGACCTGCAGCCCAGCATGAATCCGTGTGGGCGGTTCACATGCCACGCTAACTTACGGAGCAACAGCAATTCGTGTGACTGTTCCATTCCAAACGAATCTAATCAGCCATTTGTTCAAGTTGCAAACGGATATGGCTCTCAAACGTGTGCTTACTGTAAGTTGTTTGGTTCAAGTTCTCAAATGATAACTTTTATTCATGGCCCTTGTCAAAACAATGGCCGTTTTTGGAACAATGGGCTTGTTTGATCTTCAGATATTCTTTCAACCAAGTCCCTGTCTATATCTTTTCGTAGTTTTATCTCTCCTTCCCCCTACTCTTCCCATTGCTCCCAACACATGTATCTCTCTCACCACTGTGCTCCACAATTGTGTTTATGTCGCTTGGCAGTGGATGTGTGTGGGTCTGACTTGAAAAACCCATGCTACGTGGGCGCTTGCATCAACGACGGCAAGGGCTCCTACTCCTGCATCTGCCCCCCCAACTACGTTGAAAGCACAATCATTGATAGCTTCCCCACCTGCGACCCAGGTGCTGCTGGCTTGGCATCGTTTGTAAGAGGGTCGCTACTTCTTTCAGTTCTTCTTGAATCATATGTTGGGGTCATTACAACCCGTGCACACTTCTTCTACTGTCAATTCATGTGATGCACACACAACTAGTAGTTTTGTTTTCTTGATTACTTTCTTATGCGTGTGTGTTCTCCTGCTTTCACATTCATCGCTTTCCAGCCAACGTCACAGCCAGCACCCTGGCCGTGAGTGGGAGCAACTGGTGGTGCCCCGCTGTCCTCTCTATTGTGGGCCTCTCACTTCCCCAACACAGCAGAATCAGGTAACCAATGGAGATGGGGGGCCTCGAAGAGTGGATTGGCAGGCAAGGCTAGTGGTTGATTCCTCACAATGGAATTCTAAGTCCCATAGCTGCTTATCTACAGTTTATGAAATCGTCAATGTGTGAAATGAAAACAATCACAAAAGCAATATTGCTACACCTTCACTTCATAGCTTTGTCTTCCTGTGTCCATTTACTTCCTGATTCGTCATGCAAACGATGTGCCATCCCCTGAAGTGGTGACTAAAGAATCGTGTGTGCTCCTCATTGCAGGGCATTGACTGCAATCAGGCTTTGCCTCGTAACATGGTGCTTCAGCTGGGAAATCCTCTCCTCGTTCCCTGCACTGCGTTCTTCTACACCCTTAGTGTGAGAGTTAGCCCTTTTTGTTTTTATTCGTTGAATGGAATCTCATCAAATTATTTTTCTATGTTTCCCCACTCTGCTTTGCTTAGCTCCGCAAGACTGTCGCATAGTAAAGCTGCGCTTCATTCACCTCAAGCATCTGTGCCTTCTCTCCCGTTGTTCAACCCTCCAGGGCGACACATGCTGGTCCATCAGTGCACAGCTGTTCCTCACCACCAGCAACCTCACGGCACTCAATCTCGGCCTTGACTACTCTGAGCCCATCAAGGCGGGCCGCTCTCTGTGCGTCGAGCGCAACGCCACCTTCGCCTTCACTGTGCCTCGGTGCCTACGTTACGGCGTGCTTACAGCACAAGACACGTGTGAACGCCTGCTGCTGGAGGCGGGGAGTGAGGACGACCCAACGGGGGCTGGGAACGTGAACGCTGTGCGCTGGGCTGAGCTGTACCGCAACAATCCCGGCCTCATCTGCTCGAGTGTCATCCCGGTCTCCGCCTCTGCTGTTGGCAGCAACACTGGCGTGCAGGTGAGAGGTGGAGGTGAACTGGGTTGGGGGCGCAAGAGATGGGAGGGAAATGGAGGGAAGATTGGTGGATGGACTAAACGTATACTTGATGGATGTTGGGGCAAGGAGTCATTTCTCATATGCCAGCGTGGTGTTTTTTCCAACTATTTGCCCTTGATTGCCCGTTGAGTGTGTGCCTATCTCTTTCTCTCAATACATGTTTTTTTTTCATTTCTTGTGTTTGTAAATGTCGCCCTTCAGATTTGCCTAAGGGCAGAGTATTGGTCATTCGTCGTTGGCATATGCAAGAAGGGCAGGCAAAAGCCAGTGTCACCATCATTGACATGCTCAGGTGCTTACAGTTTTTATGGTGGAGCTGCCAATGGAGCAATTTCAAAATATTACGTGTACGATGAGAAGAAGTGTGTTGGGAGTGTAGGGTCCAAGTTCATTTGTGTGCCATGATTAGGAGCTCAGACGGGTATGGAACGGGGACTACATTTGGATTTCGACTTCTCTGATTAGCAGTGTAGCCTTTTCAGAAACCCTGATTATCAGCCTACGTTGTTGAGGTTACTTTTAATCATGTGCAACCACTGCTAAATATATATATATATAAATATTTAATAAAAATCGAATGTGGTTCAATGCGATTCAATGCGATCGGATGTTATTATGCGCGTCAACTCCCTGCCGCTGACTGAAGCCAGGGTCAGGGTCAGGGTGACAGGGTCTTTAGGCCCTCGTCCGTGAAGGTGACGCGCAGGAAGTGGTGCGCGTGGGGGCGGTAGTGCGTGAGCACGCGGTTGGTCAGCTCCACGCCCGGCAAGCAGCACTGCGCGCCCAGCGGTGTGATGAGCAGCCGGAACACCACCACGTGGTTCGCTGGTAGCCTCCACGGCCACGTGCTGCTCTCCCCTTCGCTCGCTTCCCCTGCCTTCTCCTCCGTGTCTCGTTGTTCCTGCTGCGACTGCGGCTGCAGTTCCAACTCTCCCATAACTGACCCTTGCTGCTCTGCTCCCCTCTCACTCTGGTGCTCACGCGTCCCTTCTGGTTCCTTGGCTCGCCCCGTATCGGTGCCTCCTCGCGTCTGCAGCCAACCGTGGTGGCGCATGGCGCGGACGATCTGGCAGAACTTCCTGGCGGGGTCGAATTCAGGGCGGGAGAAGCGGAGGAACTCCATCAGCACCGCCACGGCAGCGGGCACAGGCTCGTACGCCGGAGTGCGGTACAAGGAGGCAGTCACGGCAGTGGGGGGGATTGTGCCTTGCTGTACCAGCGCTGTGAGCAGGTACAGCACTGGAAAGGCCAGCACAGCTGGCACTGCAGACCCCTTGCTGCCGCCACTGCTGCTGGTGGTAGTTTTGGTGTTGGTGCTGTCAGCTGGGGTGGTGACGGCACGGTGGTATTGGGGAGCGAGGACGGGTCGAGAGAGATGAAAAGGATGAGGTTGATGGGCGGGGCGGCAGCATAGTGGGCGGTGATGGCGACGCGCGGTGGGTTGCCCAGGTAGCGTGCTCTGAGGTGCAGCAATGCAGTGCGCATGTGCTCTGCTATGCGCCTCACATGGATGCCATGCCGCACCGACACTGACACCTGCATCACCGACGCCGCTCCCAACACCCCTCCACTCCACACCCGCCCCTTCCACCCACTCACGCCACGGCCTCCACTGCTACCAGGCCCACTGTCCCACCGCCTCGCACCAGCACCTCCCCTTCCATCATCCCCAACGCCCACACACGCGCCTGCTGCTGCGCTTGTACAAGCGCCCGCCCTCGCCCCCGCGGGGAGGAAGTGCTCGTCAGTGGTTCGGGTCCACGGGTCGCCATCATCAGGGAACCATCTGTCGGGCTCCAGCTGCCACACGTCGTCGTCACATGCACGTGAGAACACGGCAGGCGGCACAAAGAGCAGCAGCAGCAGCAAGGAGGTGAGGCCGGGCCCGTCTGTGTCGCGGGGGGTGCCGTCCTTGGTGCCCCACAGGCGCACGTCCCGCATGCGCCACTCCAGCTTGTACTCCACTCGCTGGAACGCCAGGGGGATGGACGTCAGGGAGCCACCACAGAGCGCTGCACCTGCATCCTCCCTTGCACCCCCCTCTCCTGCCGCGCGGCCTCCCCACCCTACACCACCCCTCCCCCGCTCACCCGCCTTTGCCTGCACCACCACACGCACGCGCCTCTTCAGAAAGTCAAACTCCACGCAGCAGCTCTCGGGCTTGGAGCGTCACGTCAGCGCCAGCTGGCCGGGCTGGTGGATGAAGCCGAGGTGCACATTGGCGTGGGAGAGCAGCCCCTCAGGCTCGCGGCGCTGCTCCATGGTGCACTGCAGTGCCAGCTGCTGCCCTTTCAGCACCAGCGCCTCCTCCCTCGCCATCAAAAACTCCGCCACCTCTGCTGTGAGGAAGTCTGCGTACCCATACCCTGCCGACACCCACTCCTCCCGGTACCCGCGTCCCCCCCACCACTGCTCTCTCCCCTGCGCCTGCTGCCCCCCCTGTGCTGGCTGCGCTTGCTGTGGCTCTGCCAGCGGGCAGGGCGCGGATGCGGGTGTACCCCTTGATCTTCACGCGGTCCACAATCACGCCCAGTGTGTCTCGCACAAACGTCGCCACTGTCTCCGCGGAGGTGTCCGATGGAATGCGGTCGATGCGGATCTGAGCCTTCGGCCTGCGACTGCTGGGCCTTTGACCGCCGCCCCTGCCACTGCTGCCTCTGTTGCGAACCCCGCTGTTAACAGCAGCACTGCTGTTACTCTTGCTGCCACTTGCGGTGGTGGGTCCAGTGGTGTTGGAGGGTAGCTAGGCAGCAGAAGCAGCAGCAATAGACGAGCCAGCATCGCTCTTCCCGCCCTCCCCCTCACCAGCACCAGCGCCACCATGCACAGCAAGCCCGGGGTTGCGCAGGGCAGCAGGCCCGGCCATGGCGTGAACATCAGCAGTGAACGCCGCAGCAGCACTGGGGCCAATGAGAGCGGCGTCCAGGTGGCTCACATGCGCGCTGCTGCCCCTGCCCGTGTTCGTGCTCGTGCTAGCAGAGCTGCTGCCCCGCGGGGAAATCATGGCGCCCACATGAGGGCCACCCGCGAACTCCACACTCGCGCTGCTCTCACTCCCTCTCCGCCACCTCCCGCTGCCGCCCTCCCTACCCCTGGAGTCATGCCTATGCTCATATCTATCCTCGTGCCTATTCTCATGCCTATTTTCATAACTATTCCCATGCCTATTCACGTACCTATTCTCGTGTCGACGCTCGTGCCCCTGCCTCTCCCGCTCTCTCGGCGCAAGCGACTCCCCGGGACCACGCCCATGGACGCTGCTGCTGGGCTCGCGGAGAAGGGCGGAGCTGGTATTTGCGCCAGTAGGACCTGCGACAGCGGGCGCCGCGCGTTGGGAAGGAAACGCGCAATCCATGCTCTCTGTGGCCGGCACGGTTGCAGCCAGGTGATGGAAGATACAGAGGAGAGGTGGGAGGAGTGGAAAGGGAAGAAGCGCTCGGGTTCTGTTGACATGGTCGCGATGGGTGCACGTGAGCAGTCACAGAGAGGCGACGAAAAAAAGTTGGGGTGGCATGGGGGAAGAGGAGGCGAGGATGGAGCGAGGAGCAGGGAGAGGAATGTGGCAGGCAAGCCAGTGAATCAGTTCAAAGGGGAATTTGCTGGTCAGCAGTTGCAGCAGCAGGATGATTAGGAGAAAGAGAGCTTGACGAACGAGGCACACCAGTAGCACATTTAGCACTGGTATCTTCCCCGAACTGCTCACTTTCTCCAAGGAAGCCACCTTGATGGTTGTACCCGCCCTTAGCTCAGCTTGCTCAACGGTCACGTCGGAAAAAAAAAAAAAAACACACACACACACACACACACACACACACACACACTTGCTGACCAGCAGCCATGAAACGAACTTGCTGCTTCCGATTTGGCAATTCTTGCTCCACCACCTTAACCCATCTTGACCTCTCTATGGACAACGTGCCGCACACAGCAGACAGCAGTTGGGCAGGTGGGACTGAAACAAACGGTTGAAAACAGATAAGAGAAGCTCGTCAGGAGCAAGAGTGAGAGATATGTCCATGTGTGATGCAATCCGCTCAATCCCGAAGCTATTGTTATTCAAACGACCGTCATCTGTGACGCACCCTGCGGTCTCGCCACATTCGTACGACCGTCAGATCCACAGCTCGTCGGACCAACTGGGATTCGAGAGTATTCCGGTAATTGATGTCGGTTGCTGCAAAAATCTTCTCGAATTCGCTAAAGCCAGCCAATAGTACCTTCACTCATTTTCATATTCGCGAGGCGGAAAGGCTGGTCGGAACACTCTCCCGATAGATTACTTGACTCTAACAAGACTGTGATCGCTAAGTAAGCTGTGATCGTGATCAATGAAATATTATCAGGCCAAACATGCGACGCTTTCCGATTCATACGACGCTATGCGACGTGTTCCCAATGCCCGTGCCATGCGAGGCTTCTGCAATTGTGACCATCGTTCTCTACATCCAATCATGCTCAGTCGTATGGGATAGATAGAGTGCTTGACGAACATGCTTATCGCATAAGACGCTGCCCGCCATCCTAGGACCGCCGATGCGTCGCCTGAAGACATTGAATGCTACCATGGAATCGGTGACCATGTCCAATCAGAAATGTGACTGGACAAGCACAATCAGACCGTCCGTTTCTGATGAAGTCTAATCGGGTGTACAGTAATACTCGACGATGTGTCTGTTGATGTAAACTGTCGTCTCGCGACGACCTAGAGTCGATGTTGCCATGGCCGAAAAGCGAATGCCTGATGAGATTTGTCCCCTCCTCGCTCTTTCATTCGGTGGCAGCCCCAAAACAACCCAATTATATACACACGGGTGACGTCATCACATGCCGCCCCGCCCCGCCTGGCACAAAGGGAATTGAGGCAAAACGAAAAACCCTACGAATCCCTCCGGGCCCCCAGAAATTCCCGGCTGACCAGGCCAAAAAACCCTCCGAAACCCGCGGGTTCAATGTCGTATTCTTATTCTCATATATATGTCGGCTGAACTGTTGCAATTTCGGGGACATTTGTCGAACAGTGCTCGACGGACATTGGCCAATCGCCGTCGAGCACCGTGCACCCCCGACAACACTTTTTACACCCGGTGGCATGTCGCCCACACGGTGGCGCTGACGGTCGACGGTTGCGAAATACCAACTGTCACAATCAACAGAGACGTCAACTGCGGCCGACCTGTCGCCTCGTCGGTCGACCGAACTGTCGCTGTCGGATGGGCGACGGGTTACGTCTGTCGGAGTCAAACGTTCACGTCAACTGCTGACTGCCACGTCAAATGTCTCAGTCTCCACCGGGAGCAACATCAGCCCAAGGTCACTGTATAAACCTGAATTCATAGTAGAAGCACCACACTTTCCTCAGCAGGCCAGGATTTAGGGAGAACTGCTAGCCTTCGGTGGGCATTGATGGAGACCGATCCGTCGACGACAGCGCCTTCCCGGCAGGCGGACGTAGGACGGATACCTGTCGAATTGGAGTCCATCTCGACACCACCCCCTTCGTCGTCTGGAGCCACGCCGGTTTCTTCCGCGCCCCCTTCGACGACGCGTGCCATACCGGAGGTGGCAGCGCCCACCTCGACATCGCGAGCCATACCGGTAGTAATACAGCCGGTTGTTACGGACCAGCGTTCGACGGGTATTCCGGTCACTGTTGAAGTGGGTGGTGCACAGACCGAATTCCCTTCGACAGGTCAATCCATACCTGTTGTCGTAGAACCCATCTCGACAACAAATGCCTCCTTTACACACGAGGCTCCTGCTCACCGTGCACCATCGTCGACAGCCCACCGCTCGACGGAACCTTCAGCTGGTGCACCGACCTCGACAGGTGGGCGACGTAGGAGAGCGAGGGCTGTTCCGCCTGAGGTTCGCCAACCACCCCCTGCCGGCACATCCGCTTCTCGAGCCGGCCCCGCCGCTCCTAGGCGCACTTCGACGAGACCAAGCAGAGAGGACTTAGCCAGGAACGTCCCTGAAGCGACGGACGATGACGATGTTTGGACGGGAGAACAGCAGGAGGCGGACGATGTCGAACCGCCAGACCCTCTGCGGCCTGCTGCGGCAAATATCTCAGAGGAGGATGCCGCGCACATTCTCGGCGACCAACTGGGCGCAGACAATCCGTACTTGGCGACCGGAACACTTAAAAGCAGGATTCTCCGGTGTGAGGTTCCGCTGCTGGGAGTTGACCAGGATTCCACACGGCCGAACTATGTCTCTGGAAGCATGCACTACAAAGCTTGGGCCTGTAAAATTCTGGCACCCGAGGGAAGCAACGGAGTGCCTAAAGAGGAGCAGGTGATCTACGAGGACGAGATCGGTAGGGAGATCGGCGACGATATGGGGCCGAGATGGAGGGAGGCGCTGCGTAACGAGGAGCACCTGCATGGGCCGAAAATAACAAAGTGGCGCTTGCGCGCGTACGTCGAATACATGTCGAGTGAAACCGACCAACAGGTGGCTTCGTTGGACACAGGCCGGACCAGAGTCGCTGGAAGGAAGGCGAAAAAAAGCACCCCTCCGATGATGCTGGCGCGCCTTACTGCCCTGACGTGCTTCTGCAGAGTAGAGGCCATACTCTTCGACGAGCCACTAACGAAACCCTTGGACGACATCACCGAGGCCCGGCAGCTTCTTGCGGTCAAGCTGTGGTAGCTGCACGACTTTCAGTTCGAGTAAGTAGGCTGCCATACACCGGACTCTAAAACTTTTCACTCAAATTCTCACCCAACTACTCGCTGTATCTGCCCACTCAATGCAGGCAGTGCGTCGATCCACACTGGGGCTCGCTCGACGATGTTTACATGGAGGAGCAGTTCCGCATTCTCGTTTCAGACATCTTGCCGTACTAGGCCAAGGAGTACTTTCGGGAGTCGATGAGTTACCCCAGTCAGTCGCTGTGGAGGGCCTTGGCCGTGAGGGTGATGATCCTGATGGCGCATCACATGCTGGGCAGGGGGATAAGCATCCGCGAGATCCGCTACTGCAATATGTTCACTCACGTCCTTCCGCCCATCACGAACAGCAAGGGGGAATCGTCTATCCACGTTCTCGTGGTCGCCTATCGCAACTCGAAGACCATCAAAGACAACAAGCTCGGCCACCTATACCTGACTCGACACATGGACTTCCGGCAGTGCGACTTCGGAGCAGTGTTCATGTGGATACATTTCATTTTCGACCTTGTGCCGCTCTACTACAACAACGATAAGATCGTGCCCCCCTTGGATTTCACCAACCCGGAAAATTGGTCAAAGAAGCACCTGTTCTTCGCCCTCTTCGACAAAGACAAGACCGAGTTGCCGTACGCGACTCATGCCAAATGGGTTACCTGGGCGATGAAAAGCGCGGAGTGGATCCTGTCGAAAGTCACACATATCTTTCGACGGTCTGCGGCACAGATCCTCGCCGACAAAAACTGTGAACTCGACAACATCGCGCAGCTGGGTCAATGGGACATGAACGAGATGCGCAGGTCATACGTCACAGGCATCCCGCGCGGGGCCATCCAGCTGCAAGCGGGTTTCACGACGGAACCGGGTGACTATTACCTTGGAAGATCGAAGAGCGAAGTACCCGCGAAGGTCTTGAAGGCTATCGAGGAGCACATATTTCCAGAGGCGGAGCAGTGGCTCGACGAGGTATGGATGCGTCGAGCGCATAGCGTGATCATCGAATGCAAGTTTTGCCCATCTATCTCTCAATGTCACCACGTTTGTTCTTGTTCAGGCGATGGAATGGAACAACGAGCAGGACAAGGAGCATATGTTCTTCGCAGCGAAAAGTTTCTTGAAGGCCCTGCAAGCCGTCCGAATGCCCATCGCCGAGGATCTTGCGATGTACTACGTCCATTGTGACGACCACCCCTTCGACGGAGTGACTGTTTGCGACTGTGAGCGTCACCCTTATGTACAGATGTCCGGTTTGTGCAAGGACATGGATTTCCAAAAATGGGCGCTTGACGTGTACCCACTCGACAAATACGTCATCGAGATGCGGACCAACCCCACGCTGTCGAAAGCTTCGGTAAGATGGCCCTTCTAAGAAGGCTGTAGGATGAAGTCGTCCCATTTCGACAGAATCCGGCGCACCCCATGCACGACACGAGCTGCCGCGCCGTTTTGATAGGGGCTCGACAAGGCCGTCGTCGTCTGCAATGGGTACAAAACATACGTAAGCGACAAAACACATGCTCGACGAAAACGCTGTTGGTCTAAGGAGAGCTTACCAGATGGTCGAAATCCTCGTTCAACTCCAGACGAAGGTCCATCACCTTCAACACTTCTTGGTCGTCCTCGGTCAGAGCCTGGTGGGTCATCGCGTACTCGGTGCGAAGCTGCTTCTTCATCCACCTGCGACGCAGAGGACAGAAGAGTAAGATTGTCGAGAACAGCAGCTCGACAGCAGGGTTGCAAAGCTGTCACTCACACGAAAACTTCTTGCGCCAGAGAAGA